GATAGGCCAGTGTTGGGACCTTCTTCAATAGATTTTACTTACAGCATACCAGAATAAGATTAATGAGATTCTATCCTTATGAGCACTGAAGCACGTGAAATTGCCATTGTATATAAATATACACCCATAATTTCCTTTGAGACAGATATGTCTTACCGTCTGTGAAATGTTTTCTTAGAAGTTTTCAATCATCAAGAAATAAAACCGTCTCAGATCGAGTGGTGATTTGTCCTGTAATTAAGAAATACGAAGTGTCAGATCACAGCACAATATAGGAACTGAAACAACTAAACAACAACAACAACTTTATTATTATGACTCGCATATTTACAATTAAAAAGAAACATATTACATAGTACAACAGGAGTAATGCATATTCAACAAAGAAAAATGAGCAATGAACATCAACCACCATCAGATTAGAAAGAATGACTACTTCTGTCCAATCAGTTAACTTAAATAGAATATGCATGACATAGACAAAGTGTTCTGTTTCAACCTATAAAAAACTGTTCATTGAGTAGAGGAAATAACATCTTCTTGGAAATATTACACACCTATTGTGGAATTTCTGCTACCACTAGTTAGAACTGTCTCTATAAAGGGGAGGTGACTTTTGATATTCCTAAAAAGAAAAATGACTGAAAGTTACATAATGGCTTATACAAGGAGGCTCCATTCAAAACGGTGCCTTTTTCAGACTGCAGGTAAATAAAAAGATAGGGATTTCAAAAGCTGAAGCATATGAAAGGGTGGGGAAATTAGAAAGGGCCTTTAATTAAATTATTTAGAGCAAACGCACCTCATGGCTGTATCATTTAATTTATTAAGCACTATATGAAAAAGACAAGAAGGTTTTCTCCTTTTCCGCAGATTTATTCATAATAATGGGCCAGTTGCAGCAGTTACAGTGTTCTTAAGTAGGTATGTGAGGGTTATATATGTTATGACATACTAATTACCTCAGCTGATGTTCCCTGAACAATCATAAAGGAATATAAGTGTTCCAGGAGTACATGTACAGTGGCCACTTACTTCTGAAAAGAATAACACTCATTAAGTATGAGACATATTTAGTTACATGTGCATATAAAAACAGCCTATTAGGGAGACAGAGTCTATTGTTTTGAGCTGAACTCCTGGGCAATATACCTTAAAAGTTGCCATTCATCCCACAACAATAAAGCTGAAAATAATGTAATAAACAACCAAAGTGTAAAGTGAAAGACGGGAACCAAACACCACCACCAGTAACATTTGCACTAGCAATGCCTGACTGCACCCTACTTTCACCTTCACTAAAACAAGCAGAAGTATCACTCTAACACAACTATCATCTACACCACCAGAACTACCTGAATCACGACTACAAACAACATCAACTTGCTACAACAGGGTATAACTTTACTATCTCTGCCACCAACCCGGCTTCAAGTAATTTTAATTGCACTGCGGGACATATGACTTTAATTCTCTATTTAGGTCGAACAGATTGTATAGAGATACAGATAATCTGGTAGCTCTATCCATACACATGCCTGGATTAATAAATGCGTTTAACAGCACAATTTATGGGGAAATTTCCACAGCAAATTGTGATGTAAACTTTTCTGCAAGCCTGGACGTCGAAGCTATTAAAGCAAAATAAAACGCAGATCCACATAATTTACGATTTCTTAAGTATGTCACAGGAAACATGGTCTTGATACACAATCTTAGTGACAAAAATCTTACTCTTTTAGGTGCTTAGTCACAAAGTCCAATCATAAATAATAATGTAAAATAAGTAGGACAGAATATTTTTTCAAATCTAGTTAGACAATGTCCCATAACCAAGTGCTTTCTTCCAGTACCTCATGATAAACAATTACCATCAGCAACACAAAGACCAAGATGTACCTTAAAACATCAACTAAAATCAGACACACCAACAGCAGGGTATACCTACACCATCTATACAATCACTAACATGAGTGACACCAACACTAGAGTGTACCTACACCATCTATAAACCACTAACATCAGCAACACCAACAGCAGGGTATACCTATGCCATCTATAAAACCACTGACATCAGCAAATACCAAAACCAGCATGCACATACATACACACACTTTATTTCAACTCAGTTATCATAGTACATGTAGCTCTATTGAGCTAATATCTTCGAGAAAGAAAAAAACTGCATAAATCAATTACATTATTAAAATACAATAATTGAAACTACTACCTAATAACCATCTATACAACCACTGATATCTGCAATACCAAAACCAGGGTGTACCTCACCTATCTATATAACTACTAAAAGCAGCGACATCAACATGAGGCTGTACCTACACAATCTATTTAATATTTCACATGAGCAGCACCAAGACTGGGGTGTACTTTCACCATCAATATAACCACTAACATAGGCCACACCAACACAAGGGTGCACATGTACCT